GGATTTGGGGGGAGGAGGAGGCCGGTCTAGTACCGAGTATGGGAACTGGCCGTTACCGGCGCCGGGGGGCCGGCTGACCCGCTGGCTGACGTCTCTGCCCTCCCCCTGCCCTGGCTCTCCAGGTGCGTGGGTTCTAGAAGAAGGTGCGGTGCGTCCGCTGGGAGTTGGAAGGATGAAGGCCCCTGTCTGCAGTGATTCGTACACACAGTTCTCCAATATGCTCGTTTTCTGCTCACGTTCATTACGTTCATTAAACTTGGCATATACTTCATTCACCCCGGGCAAGGTGAACATGACTGCATGAAATGTTGGAAAGGGCAGGGTGGCATCAAGTCAGCACCCGCTCTTGTTACTCTCTGTTTCCCCTAACTGGTACTGAAATTTTTCCCCTTGTTAACAGTAACTGATAGAATTATTGTAATTTCTGAGAAATAGAAGGCCTCACTGTAGTTTACCAGATATTCTGTCAGATAGTTTCCAATTACTTTGAGCAAGTAGCTTGAACAAATTACATCATGAAGAAAACAAAGGGTCTTCTTTTAAATTCTTACTTGTTTTTTTAAATCCATTTTTCAAAATTACTCCTTACCACTGGAGCCTGTTTTCTTTCTTCAGTGCTTTACTAGGGGAAAGTATGCTTTTTTTACACCTGGTCTTACATTTTTTGATAGCTTATGGCTCACATGGTTCCCTGACTCTAATGCTGCATTTCATGTTCTGCAAGGAGATAACCTGTAACACTGCATCCCCTCAGTGTCTTCGTTTAGGTTCCCTTGAGTTTCAAAAGTGTTCAGAGGCCCATGTTGCAGCTGGAGTTTGTGTGCTTAGCTGTGTGCTCTACACTTAGGCACAGAGTCACTCAGTTAATTGTGCAAGCAGAGAATTCTGGTTTTCTCCTCTTTTTCTGCAGTCAGAAGTAGGCCTTGTACCTGTGGTCTAATTTCATCTGTGTAGCTTTTCACCTGATTATTCACTGCTTAATGATTGCTCTCTGTTTCATATAAAAATATCTGGAATTCCCAGAAGCTTTTATTATCTCTGCAAAAGCAGGACGTAATTGTCTGTGGTAGGATGAGTGACTTAATAGAATACTTTTCTGATACAAATGCTTAAAATTAAAAAAAAAAAAACATTCATGGCCCAGAACAACAGCAGATAGGAGTAAAAAAGCTCTGAAGTCTGTGTTCGGTGCCATCTTGTGAGCTAGCGTGGCACTGTGTGACTCCGTTTACTAGCTGGAGCAGGTGGCATAATGTAATTTAAAAAACTCTTGGGAAATACTGTTTAGATTTGTGAGGAGTTTTGAAGTGTATGGGTGAGAAGTAATATGTGTTTGCTAAGCAGAGTTGCTAAACCTGCTTTGGCGCAGTTCTTCCTTTCCTTTGCTTTCTATAAAGTAGGAAGGGAGGAAAAAAAGACCATGCAGGAATTTGTAACAAAGTGCAAATACTAACGCAAGGTACTCCTCTTTTTGCACCTGCGTGTTGAGATGTGAGTTTATTTGATACATAACACATTAGCCATTCCTGTTTATTTTTGCCATGTGGAAAATGAAAGTACTTGCTGCAAAAAATGAAAATTACACAAATGCAGATAGTGACTGAGATGTAATGTCCTTATCAACTATGTGAGGTATGTTTGAGGGAGCTTTCCGGTTTCTCCCTATCACCTTGAACAACATTTATGCTACTACAATTTCTCCGTCCTCTGCGCATCTGAACCATTGGCCAAGAAGAGTATTTGTTAAGTGAGACGTATTTAGGATTACAGTCTTGTCAGGACTCAAAAATAGCTGGACATACAGCTCTTAAAATAGTGCAGAGCATCAACAAAATACCTAGGTTAAAAAAGAAAACAAACCATTTTTTTACATCAACCTACAGTGCACTTTCTGTGGCTTGTTTTGCACCATTATACTCTGTGTTTCCCTAAATACCTGTGGCACTGTTTACAGTGCTTTCAGGAAAAGAGATTTTGGGAAATTCCATGAATTGCGGCTTGTGCTCAGCATTGGACTTTTGTATAGATGTTTAAGCATGTTGTTGTATGAGTTAAGTCCCAAAAGCCATAGCCAGGGAAGGCCTAGTTTGTACCACTGAGGGGCAATGCTAGCCCGTTACTGGGGGAGCAGGCGTTAGGAGGAATCATGCTGTTGACATTCGGTGGAGTTGGGGAAGTCAGTGCTTGGGACTGGCCATGGGAGAATGCCAGGGTGCCCAGACTTGGTGCCCAAAATCCTCCTTAGGCTGTTGCCCTCGTAAGTGAGCAGTAGGATCGCTCCTGTTGTGACCAAGAGCCACAGCGACTAGGTGTCCCTTTGTGTTCCCATCAGTTGGTGTGCTGGCTTTCCACCCAGCACATTTCTGTGTGGCGGTGGACTGTCCCTTGCTAAGTGGGAGTAGCTCACAGTTGAGCGAAGGAACCTGTTTGCTGCTTCTGGTGGAGGCTTGATGTGGAGGCGAACATGGGTGCAGCTGGCAGCTGCATATCAGGCGTTACTCCCTGGCACATGCAGGTGCTATCGTCGTGTTTAGCAGCAGACTTGGCCCCCGTGTGGAGTCCTTCCTGAAACAGTGAAAGGGGTTGTGTGGGACAGGGACTTCACTTATGCTGAGAAGTCAATAGAGCCAGTACCTGTGCAGAAAGAAGTACCAGCTGCTCCGGGCTCCAGCCTGAGGCATTTTTCCACAGCCCAACCAGGCAGAACATATGAAGCACCAGTGTTCAAGAGTAAACTCGTAACAGGGGCTCCTGCTCCTGCGCTGATCCTGAGTAATGGCTGTGCTTGTGCGTATCTTTGGCTTGGCTTTTGTTGTTGTAGTAGAAAATGCTTCATCTTTTTTCAGACGGGGCTCTGCTAGCTAGTGTGTCTTTGGTCATGTTTCCTCTCCTGTCTGCCTCCCTTTTGCAGGTTCAGTCTCTTACTCCTTCGTGTTTTCTTCTTGACCAATGTGCTTGCTGTTTCTGCAGCCTTGTTCTCTCTTAGACTTCGGTCATGATCTTGATGTTGCTTTGCCTCTCACTGAGGCATTGGGAAAATTGCATATTTGAAGAGGAGAGCCTTTTCATGGTTAGAAAAGGGAAAACTGTCTTCTAGATCCTGCTTGTGTTGTGATCTTGGCCATATATAACAGACTACTTGCCAACCATAATTTAGTTTGTCTAGACATAGTTGAGAAGCAGTATATAGTGTTTATGTGAGTTTTTAGTACTGCCAAAGCTGATTTATAAAAGTGAATATAGATTATCCTTATTTTAAAGGTGAAAGCAAATTGGTGAGTTACCATTTCATGGAAGGTCAGTGACAGAGATGGGATTTGTTTTCCCAGGTTTTTCTGAAGCTTGGTGCTGCAGTATGCCTTTATCTTTGAAACAAATCTGAGATCATACCTGTAGTTTTGAGGTTCTTAAGACTATTGTATTTATTAAATAAGTAATCCACCCTTTAGTGATAATTTTTTTACCTACTGTTCAATAAAATGTTGCGCTGAAGCAGATGGCCCTTGTTTCTGCAGTGGTGATTGCTGGCCTGGGTTAGTCCTCTGCCCTGCTTGTTCTGAGGCTCCACAAGAACTTGGAGCAGGCAGTGCAGGGACACACAGGAATGGCTGGAGGTTGGTGAGAGGAGGGATGGGGAACTGGATGAGAACACTGCCTCAGAGAAAAATGCCTGTGAATGTACAGACTTCTGGGCTTCTTGGTAGTGATTTCAGCAACACGTGTAACGATACAGTAGTCACTGGGGGATTTTTAGCAACTTTAATTTCTTTAATTTTCTGTTGATACTTCTGCAGGGGCAGTAATATGTTCAGGTATGCTCTGGGTCAGTCAGCATCATTACTCAGTAAAGGGATGTTTCAATAATACGGAAAGTAAAAGTCATTCAGAACTAACTTCATCTTTTGTATTTTGGCAGGTTTAAAAAAATGGCTGAGGATGGCAGTGATGAGACTATGTTTATTTGTAAGTATTAGAAAGGAAAATTATCTACTTCTCATGATGTGACTTATCTACCCAGAATGTTTGAAATTAAAGACTAGAATAGACTATGTTTTTATTTAGAAAAGTTGTCATGTAAAGGAAGCTCAAACAGCTTATGGAGGAGCAGAGAGAAGGTTCCTAATTTTAAGCATACACATTCTCTAGGTTTTGTTGGCAGACGCACAAAGAGACCTCTGAATGTGAGTTAGCAGAACAGCTTTTTCATGGTTGAAGTGAGTGAGATTGAAGGCCTAACATTCATCTGAGCTCTTCGTTTATACAGCCAGCTTTAGCAACCAGGGGTGTCCGTGGGGAACTGTGACCTCTAGCCTGAGTTGAAGATCTGCACCTCCGCAGGAGGAGGATACAGCCTCGTTATTCTATCTGGACAAGCCCAGTCTGAGATGCACTGACTGCCCTGGCAAATCTCACGCATGGCATTCACTGCGTTTTCTTGTGCCCCTGTGACTAGACCTGCAGTTCATGCGGCTTGGCTTTGTGGTCTGCCTTCCACTACGTAACCCCCTGTGCCAGACAGGGTTCCACGACCTGGGATCTCGACTAATGGGGTCACGGTGTGTGAAGAGAGGCTGCAGCAATGGTATACCCAGGGAGTGTGGTTGGCAGCGTCCCATGCTTAGTGGAGCTTGGTTAGTAGGTTTGTTTCCCAGTGGCATACTAGTCCTGCAGCCTCTCCTTTGTCACCAGCGTGGACATGCAGGATCTGGTGTTAACAGTGGAAAAAAGAGATGTCAAGTCTGTTTACCTACTTGTATGTTCAGAGGGGGCCCAGATATTGCAGATCCAACCTGGAAAGAGCAGAATGGAACATATGTCTTTGGTAGTATGGATCCACGGTCTTTTACCCCTGATGGCTTCACAGCTGCACGTTAGCCTTATGGCAACTATATCGGAAAGAAAGTTGCTCTTTTCCCTCCACCACAAGATTCACCAGGGTTCCTTTAAAAATAATGTTGACTCAATAGGTGTTCTTACTGAGTTGCAGATACCAGTGCTGAAGTTACCTTAATCTTCCCCTTCATAAAAAGGCCCTGTTGTATAGCAACAAGGATTGGGATGTGATACTGTTCCCTAATCGCACATTTAGAAGGTGTCGCACAACACAATCTTCCCCCTTGCCTTGGAAATTGTTTTCATTGTATTTCTTGTGCTCTCTGTAACTTTTTCTCATGGGACATGGGGACTGCTTATGTTCTGAAAAAGTGAGTTGTTGTAAATTATATTGTGCAGTGCCACAGTTAACATAATTGAATACGTATTTCATAAAAATAAGAGAGTTTTAGAATATGTTTTATAGAAGTCTGTGAATATGCTCCCTCCCAGGGTATTTCACCATTTATCCCATGCTTAGTTTTGTATTTCTCCTGTGGCTGTAATCTGTTGAAAGTGTCACATGTGGTGAGTGTAACAGCCTTGGGGAATGTCTGCTGTAAGACATCACTTAGATTTTGAGAGACATACTGCACAGCGTCAGTGTCATATTCACCTTGCTTTGATCATTCATCCGCAAAGGAGTGAGAGAAATGTGTAGCTTATTCCTCATGTAATTTTGGACAGTGCTGTCTGCATCTTGTTGAACCTGTGCAGTGTCTATCTTTGCAGAAGTGAGGGGTGCCTAGGCGCAGTCAAAAGATACGGGAGATTACTTAAATGCTTTGTTTTCTTCATCAGCAAAGCCAATTTTAAGAAGCTGTCGTTCTGGCTATTCCTTCCTGTATTCATTGGTTATGACAACCCTTTGTGGTTGATAATACAGTTCTTTTCAGCAGTCTGGTTTACACATTCCTCTGTGGCTCCTCCACCCTCTCTGGTTTTGGACATTTGTATTTAGCCCAGGTTATTTCAGTAATACTCAGTCCAGTGTGAGCTACAAGCATACCTAAGGGAGGTGGTGGTACAGTAAACAGTGCAGGACAGGGGGAGGCCACTTGCATATAGGCTTAGATTTGATGTGGATAGCACTTAGCTGCTGATCCTTTCCTCTTATACAGCTGTCTGGTGCTTTACAGCAAACTGAACTGGGAAATTCATTCAGCTGAAAAATAAACTGATGGGGAAAGCTGGTTGTTTTGTTCCTTGGTTCACCAGAAAGCAGGACAAACAGCTGTACAGGAAGCAGTGGCCAGGCTTGGGGGTTGCACGAGCTGATACTGCTGTTTGTCAGATGTATGTGGATTTTCACTGCTAAGCTGTTTTTGTTGCCAGAAGAAAGAATGACACGGAGCTGTGCATTATAGTTTGGGATCCCTTTTCCACATCTAAGAAGAAATCCTTTTGTTAATTCACTGGGACAAATACTGGGACGGAGGGGTTTTCAGTTAGATGTACAGAGTAGCTTTACCAGAGGGGACATATCCTGGAATAACACGGTTTTTGTCTTGTTCTCTTCCCAAACAAGGTGTAACCACCCTCTACTTTGCATCCTTACTAGGGTTACCTATTTGCCCTCGTGAGTGTGGAGCTTAGATGGAAATTGCACTATAGGAATATAACCCCTGTGCGATGATCTCTTCTTAAGCTGTGTCAGCAGCTGACCAGGCAGGGCAGTTTGACAGCTACTTTTCAGAGTAAAGCAATGTATGTGCATTTGAAATCCTGTTAAGCTGGCTTATTTTAGAAAGCCTCAAATTATCCTGGTCTGAAAATTGTTTCTTAGGAACCATTCAGTTCTGGGTAATTTACAACCACTTAAATTAAAAGTTAATTTAGGTAAGCTGACAGTGAATCAAGAAGTGGCCAAGGCGTATTGCACAGTGAGCTGACTTCTTTGGAAAGGCACCAGAAGGCATCTTGGAGGTATCTCTCCCTCCGCTGTGGGTGAGGAGCATGAGCGGGCCAGACATGGCTCTGGGTAGAGCTGGGCTCCTACAGCATGCTTGTGCCAGTTCTGCTACTGGTACTTGGCTTATGCCTTCTTTCACTAAAAACACCACGGTACCCAAGCTGTTTCTAAAAACCTGGGTTCTGGTGAAGGTAGTAATGTGGTTAGATTTATATGCTAGATATTGTGGCACTTTATCTGAAAAATAATGTCATCTTTAAGCAGAATATTTACTGTGGATGTAAGGCAATTATTTTGCTTGGAAAGAAAATATAGACCATTGTCTTCTGATAGTATTGATCGCAGTGTGTATTCTCTCACCCATGCAGGTGCTGGCTATCAAATTGATGTTTAATTATATGTATTTTTTTAAGCAATATAAATAAATAGCTGCCTTTATATATATGTATTTTTACTCGTGCTAGATTTTGTATTTGGCTCTTGAAAGAAGGAGGCAACTGTCTTACAAAAGTGTTTTCTATCAGCCTTCCTGTATGCTCTCTGCTTCCTTGCAGGGTGTGAGGACTGTGGGCAGTACCATGATTCAGAGTGTCCTGAACTGGGCCCAGTGGTGACAGTCAAAGACTCCTTTGTATTGAGCAGGGCAAGGTAAGGAACATTTGTGTTAGTTCTGACTAACCCAATGCTCAAGTTAATTCTTTAAAGCATATTTACTCTTTCATGGGTGTCACACTGACAGCTGAAAAGTGAAGTCCCAATCTGTGGAAAGCACATGGCCTTGATTAAATAGAAAAATTGATGCACACACTTAAGGACTCTACTGAATTGAAGCCAAAAAATAACTTGTTGCTCATCAGGACTTGGCTTCTTTGATAAGGTTTCTGGTAAAAAGTCAGATAGTGCTAGATGGGGTGATGACTTCTGTCTTGGTCAAGTACCTGTAACTTTTTCCCCTTCTCAGATGTACTGTATTAGTTTCAGAGAAGTGCATGAGAATTTCTCAGTTGTGTGAATGGTTGTGTCCTCCTGCTTGGTATAACCTCTGCAATTCCTCCCCTGAGAGGCAAAACAAGCTGTTCTTATTATTGTGTATCTTTATGAGTGATTAAGGGTAATGCTTCTGTCAGAAAACCTGTGACAGCACAGCAGAAACATTAATGCTTGCCAAAAGAAACAAATAGTCTACATCTAGTTGGAGAAAATTAACAGTGAGTAGCGATTTTTACAGAGAAAGGCAATCAGGCATTGTCAGCAAAATTCATATTAAGGTATAAAATGTAAGGCTAAGGAAAAGAAACAACTATTGTGAAGATGCAGTACAAATTCAAAAAGGGAAGAAAGTTCAAATGGCTTAATGTATTACACAGTGTGCTTAGGGTTTCCATATTTCTTCTTGGGAAGTCACAGACAGAAAACATGGGCATGTGGGCAGCAAGTCTGATGCATGCTTGCTATGTAGGCCATACTGTGGGTTCCCAGGATCATTTTGTAACAAGTACTGAGTGTGCTGTGTCTGCCACCCAGATGCTGTGACCCCTTTCTGCCTGGGCAGGGTGCTCTTGGTGTTGCACAGTGCAGGTTGGCTGCACATGGGCACGAGCTGTAGCAATTTTTCTGGGCCTTCCGGGAAAAGGAAGCTCCCTGCAGCTTCGTGCCAGGCACTGTCTTCATGTGTCTGGAAACCTGCTGTGGGTGAACTCCGGCAGCAAGTGTAAATGGGGACTACTGTCTTAACAGTCCTGACACTAGGGGTGTTTTGTTCTTGAGGGTAATTTCAAAATGCCCATAGGAATAATAGAAACTGGTGATAGAGATGCTTATCATATATGGAAACTGGGCAGTGCAGTAAGTCTCTAGCCCATACTAAGCAGATTCACTGACAAGTTAAACTGTTATTTCTTACCTTTTATCTTTTTTATTTTTTTGCCTTGCAATTTAATTCTCCTATTTATTTGCATGCTGGAGAATTACCATAGTGACCAGATATTCCAACTGTGAATGTTTGCGAGTATGGTGCATGTCATGGTTTTCAGCCTTTTTTGACATGCAGATGCTAAGTGTTCCCTCATGGAAGCATTGGCTGCTGGATAGTGGATTTGAAAGCAGACTTTTAAAATGGCCATGTTGTAGAAAAATGTGTTTGTTTTCCTGAAGAGTTTGCAGCTGGAAACAGGCAAGATAAGAAAGAGAAAGAAGAAATATAATTGCAGCCTTTATTTTACATCTGGGGAACAGTACCTGAGAGAGTGAATTGTCTGAGGTTGAGGGCAAATTTAACCACAAACTGGTTATGAATCCCTTAAAAAACAGTCTAGTTGCTTAACCACATAATCATCGTTTCCTCTGTCCTACCGAAAAGAGAAAATGGATGCTTTATGATTAGAAAAGAGGCGTTAAGAAATGTTTCCTGGACTTTACTGTCTCTAACATTGCATATTCTGTTACTAAAACTAAAAGCATTTTTTCAATTCATTTGCTTATCACTGTGATTGCAATGTTTTTGTATTTTTCTTCATCTAGACAGGAAAGTGGATCTGCCCGTGTCAACTTTTGTAGAGTTGTCAGTAGCCTGTCTGATTATTTTTAGCTTTTCATCTGTTAGCACAGCGCTGAAAAAACGGGGTTGTGTTTGCTGTCTATAAAACCAATATGGTGCTTCCAGTCATATTTTTCTGGAAGATGTTCGCTGTATATTATATGTAGTAACAATATTTACTACATATAGTTCTTCTCAGTAGCTTGTTCGGTAAATGAGAGAGACAGGGAGCAATGTATCAGTGTTTGTAATAAGGGAGCTAGAAGACAGAAGGGAACTTCCAGGGCTTTCATTTTAAGGGTTATATTCTGCATACGTATACAAGATGTTATTTGGGGAGGAATGTAGGTTCTTTTTTAGAATAACCATGATCAAAACCAAAGATCAGTAGAGTCATAGGATAACTCATTTTGGAAGATCTCTCAGGACATTCCAGTCAGAACTAACATCAAGGCTGAACTGCTCTTCATTTTTATGCATATTGTCTTGTCTGTTCTTGCCATTAGGCTCTGAGAAGAACCTGAATCCTTCATCCCAATGATGTCCCCATAGGTGTGCACAGGTGTCTGTTTTGGCCCCCACAGCTATCTCCTCCCCAGGCTGATCAAGCCCTGCTTCCCCAGCCTCCCCTCACAGGGTGACCGCTCTAGCCCGTGACCATACTGGTGTCCTCCCTTGAGCTTACTCCAGTTTGCTGATGTCTTTCCCATATTGGGAACCCAAAACAGGAGCAATAGATAGATAGTATCTAGCAAGTGCAGAGCAGAGAGGCACAATCACTTGCCTCGATCTGTTGGCTGCTCCTGTTCATACAGTCCAGGATATGTTTGGCCCCCTTTGCTGCTGGGACATGCTGTGGCCTCGTGTCCAGCTTGCCGACCACCACCACCACCAGGGTCTTTCTCTCCAGTGATGGTACTGGCTGGGGTTCTTCCTTCACAGGTGCAGGACTTTTCATTTGTCCTTTGGAATGTCATGTGGTTTCTGTTGGTGTATCTCTCCAGACTATCCAAGTCCCTCTGGATAGCAATCCTGCCCTCAGACATATGGATTGTGCCCCCAAGTTAGTATGACCTGGAAACTGGATGAGAGTACACTCTGTTGCCCCTTCTAGGTCATTGATAAAATGTTAAACAGTACAGGTCCCAGCACAGTTGTTTGTGGCCTCCAGGTAAAGTAAGAGCCATTGATCATGACCCTCTAAGCCTGACCACCCAATGAGTCATTTACTCTAGTAGTTGTGTACCCATCCAGACCATAACATCCCAACTTTGATACAGAGATAGTGTTGAAAGCCTTACTAAAGTCAAGGGAAATTACATCCGCTGCTTTTCTCTCATGCACAAACCTGGTCGTTTTAGCCTGGAAGGCAAATAATTTGTCAGGTATGAGTTGCCCTTAATCCGTGGTGACTGTTTCCAGTCACCGTCTCCTCATGGGCCCATAAATGTCTTGTTCCATGGTTTTCCCAGGGATTGAAGTGAGGCTGACCACCTTGTAGTTCCTTGCATCATCTTTGGCCTTTTTTGAAGATGAATGCAACATTTGTCTTCAGTCATCAGGGAGCTCCCCTGATGCCCATGATCTTTCGAAGATGGTAGAGATTAGTCTCACTATGGTATTGCACTGTTCTGTCAGCACCCTCAGGTGCAGCATGTCAGGTCCCTGGACTTATATGGGTTCAGCTTTCCCAAGTAGTCACTGACTTGGCCCTCCTTCACTGCTGATGGTAATTCTTCTGTGTTTATATATATATCCTCATTGAAGTTAGGGTATTTTGATCAGAAAAGTTTTCTGTCACTGGAGATTGGAGAAATAGATGTTGACTTCTTTCTTCCATGGGTTCCTGCAGTGTTTTCCCATATGTAACTGTTTGGTTTTTTTCTCAATTCCCTCTTCAACTTTTAGGTCATCTCTGCCTTCTAATTTGGAGATAAGACAATTGGAAGATGGGACTGAAGGAGTGTTTGCTCTGACTCAGCTAGTGAAACGTACCCAGTTTGGCCCATTTGAATCCAAGAGAGTTGCCAAACTGGAAAAAGAATCAGTTTTTCCCCTGAAGGTAAGACACACGGCACATGAAACACAATAACAAGGAGTCGGTTATACCAGAGATTAATTTATGCTATTTAACACTATGGAAAAAATGTGTGTGGGGGGGGCTATTTAGGACATCTTTGAGGCGTGCCCTATAATGGACTAGCTAAACAGGCATTCTCTGGGAAAGATACAGAAGAACCAAACTAGAGGCTCATTTTTCATGTTTGAAGTGAATATCCTTATAGGAGATAGGTCTAGGATAGTGTCAGCAAAACTGCTTCTCTTTCACCTTTTTCATGTGATGATACAAGAGGGGCCCTGACTATGGCAGTTCATTTTTATTTTTTTTTAATGAGGCTCTCCAGTTTCATTGTATTTGCTTGGTGAATGTAGTTCACTAAGTTTATGGAATATGCAGAATAAATATTTGTTTCTGTCTTGCATTTGTTTCATTCTTTTCTAGACAAGTTTTGGTAGGAAAAGTGCTATGGTAAAAATTTAATTCAGTCTTAGGTGTTAAATAATACCTGACTCAGAAATAAAGATTTAGAAATGTAACTCGAGCTAATGGGTGTTCCACAGCATGCTGTTTGGATTCCCCTCCTTTCTCCTGTCATTCAAATTTTGTGAGAAACTGATGGCTATAGCAAGAATTCTCAGGATAGAAGTTCCGTTTGTTCCCATCCGGCCCTTGGTAGTCTGGCTCAGACTTACTCATCTGAAGATACAACTGATACATGAAACATGCCCGATGCAAGTGTTGAGGCTTGCTCTGTCTCTGATGTACGTTGAATGGAAGCCATTGCAAAGGCAGAAAATAAAATTTCTTCTTAACTTTGTGCTGTTTTTAGGGTTTTATTGTATGGATATTTTGCTTGGCAGGTGTTCCAGAAGGATGGGCCCCTGGTATACTTTGACACCTCAAATGAAGATGATTGCAACTGGATGATGATGGTGCGACCAGCCACCAAATATGAGCATCAAAACTTAACTGCCTTCCAGCATGACAATGATATTTACTTTACCACCTCACGGGACATCCCACCAGGAACTGAGCTGCGAGTGTGGTATGCAGCTTTTTACGCCAAAAAAATGGAAAAGCCAGTGCTGAAGCAGGTCACTAGTATTGCCAATGGTATGTGTGGGGGCCTTTTTTCCTTTCTAAGGGCCCAGTCCTGATAGGGACTGACAGCCCCCTACTGTTGCAGTTGACAGTGCTGTTTATCAAATAGTCTCTGACCCTGAATTTGTTAGCCTTTGGAGTCAGGCTAACCTGCCTACATGGTTGCCCTCCAGGAAGAAAGCATAGATTCTTCACCGTGATATATCTGAGTTTTTGAAAACAGGTAGCCTAGTTGATGTTTCAGCCTCTTCAGAGTGAACAAACTGGATAAGTAGTTCTTGACTAAAGAACAGGTGGTTGTATCAAAAACACTTCTGTGTAGAAGAGCAAAGGAACGCAAGTGTCAGTTTAAGTCTGTATGCAGATTTGCTAAAGAAGCCATTCTTTTTCAGTTGTAGTGAAAATGTTTTGGTTTTGCTCAGAACTGTTATGCATGTCTAAAAAACTACTTTTATCTTATGCAGCCTTACATGACACCCACTAGACTAAGATAAACTCAAGAGTGAACTGCCATTCTACATGAGTGCTTGTGCATTGGCAAAGAAAGGCAGCAGATATTTTAGAATTGGAATTAGAGTTGCCGGAAGTCTTTTGTTCGTCTGCCCCTTAGTTTTCTTTGCATTTCTACAGCTAAAAAGCATGATCCTTTAGCATTGCAAGGGCATTTCCTTTCTGCTCTTGAGTTGGGAGTACTCCCTGAATGTTATTTCTGCTATGCTGAGTATAATTTGGGGTGACAAATGGCTTGGGAAGAGGCCATTGCCATCAGCATGCTTTATGGCTGATCTTGATGGTAAGCACAGTCTTAAGTGCTACAGCTGAATAAATGGAGTTAACAAGTTTCTGAATTCTAAAATGCTTCCATTTTTGTTAACTGAGAGGTTTCACCTTTTTCTTCTTTAGTTTAACCTGTTCATGTATTTTGTTATGCATGTGGGTATTTAAAAATATTGTTTAGGTACGTCCTCCTTTCTCTGTTCAGCACTTTCATTATACGCTCTAGAATATGAAAGGCACGTTATATCACATTCAGGTGTAAGAATGTCCTGGTTAGGATTTTACATGAGAATATTTTTTGCAGGCCTGCTGTAGGGATATATATTCTGACTATGGTTACTGCCCTCAGCACAGAGTGAGAGAATCGAAGAGTCGGTAAAGTAAAGAAAATGAACTGTTTTTCCTTTTCACAGATATGTGCTTGGTAGTGATGGAATCTGATAAGGAGAGGAACAAGACCTCTTCAAAACCTTCGTCTGCTGTCTTCCCCCATAAAAAATCAAAGAAATCCAGCCTACCAGCATCTGACCCAGCAGGTATGCAAAATTAAGTTATTTTTAAGGGAGATAGAGGACAAATACAGATCCGAGCGTCCCAGACTAAGAGCTGACCGGAGTGGGGGGAAAAGCGACCACCTGGCCCCAGCTAATGATCCCAGAGAGGGAGGGTCCCGAAACTCACGAAACGGAGATAACAGTCCGAGCGTCCCAGACCAAGAGCCGACCGGGGTGTGAAGTGGGGGGGAAGGCCTTGGGAGAGCGATCCAGAGCCAGAAGAGAACTGAAACCGAAAGGCACCGGAACCAGGAGGGCCGATCTTCCTGGCTGTCCTCACCTATATACTGGGCATGACATGTATGTTATGGAATAGATTATTGGTCACTCTGGTTCTCAATCTAGTAACCGAAGAACAAATCTTGGGCTGGTAGCTGGGGCTGCCCTCCCAGCCCCCCCCACCCTGTCTGCCAAGAGCGAAGAAGCTGAAGGACCTTGAAATAATTATAAACATTCCTTCTTTACCAACTTTTCTGAGCACGAATCCAAAACACAGCCTCTTCCTAGCTATTATGAAGAAAGTTAACTCTGTCTCTGCTTAACCCAGGACATAACCCCAGTATTAAAAGTGCTGAAAATTGCTTTATATTGTGCCTTTGGTAATCACAGTTCTTTAGAAAAGGGACCCTCCAGACTTTACAAGAGCACTGATATTCTCTCGTGGTATCATTTAGTTTCTGTTCTGACTTCTCGTCTGTTCTGATATTTCAAGTGTTCATGTTTGGAAAATCCTGAAGTGGTCCCAGCTGTCCCTGTGGGCCTCTTACTGCTTCAATCATAACTTGTGGTACCCAGGGAGTTATTGGAAGATAAAGCTACAGGGATTTACCACTTTCCCATTTTCAAAGCTTTTCAGTATTTCTTGTGATTTCTTCTGATTTAGTGAACACTCCAGAAGGCAGTGGAGCTGGAGAAGCAGAGTCCAGCCAGTGGACGTGTAAAGTGTGTTCATCTGCTTTCCAGGAGCCTCAGCTGCTGACAGGTAAGAAGTGTCAAAAATTCATGAGAGAGTACTCAGAAGCATCAGGAGAATTCTGCTCTTACAGAGCAGGACATTGTTGCAGTAAGATAAAAGTTTTCATTTTTGTGTTCCTTTAAGAAAAAGGGTAGCGGGGAAGAAGGTAAAACATTATGTTTTGGGTATGGCAGTTGTCAGTCTCCAGGCAAACGACTGTGATGTTGAATCTAGAGGAAATAAAATAGTTCTCTATAAGATGACATGTGAATGTGAGGAATATCAAGGATTGGGAACTGCATGAGCAGTGTATAAGGTCAGTGATGCCAGTTTATATGTAGTGATATTATCTGTCTGTTATTTATGGCACAGATTTAGTAAAGGTAATGAAATACATTTTTTTTTCTGCTTTTCATTTGCAGCTATTCTATGCAGTTTTCAAAAGAGCTTAGTATATTTAAGAGCTCTGACCATTTGATGAATCATTTTTGAAAAGGAGACTTAAGCTGCTAAATAACTTGGGCATTTGGAAAAATGCACCCGTTATCAGGGGCGCAACCTTTTTCCAGTGCTATCTAATAAATCTCTTAAGAAATTCAGTCCCTGTGAGTAATCATTTCAATGTTTAATAGACTGTATGCTTTTATTTAGGAAGGTACTATGACTGCTTTTGAAATAATTTGAAGCGAGTCTCTGCTAAGTGAGGTTGACCTGATAGACAGGCTTCAGCTGGATCTATCCCTTTGAGTATTTCATGACAGTTTCTTTTCCTCCGTGTTCTTTCCCATCCACCCAGAGCACTTGCTGAGTCACCTGGAACAAGCTAAAGGTGCCCCCCAAACCAGCCAAAATGAGGCTGTTGCAGAGAAGGCAGCAGAGGCTCCCCCTGTGGATCAGCCAGTGGTTTGTGATGCAGCGAGTGCCAGTACAGACTCAAGGAGGAAGGCCAGGCGGGGAAGAAAGCCCAAAACAGCAAAAGCAGAAACACCTCTTGTCGTTGTTGAAGAGAAAGATTCTGCAGGTAAAACAAAACTTAAGGAAATGCAGAGCACATATCCCCTCATATGTCTGTATTGATGCCTTCTCAGAAAGGCCTAAAAAGTAGCACAGATGGAGGTTTTTAGTTAGATCACTAAAGCAGACGATTTACAAACTTTATTAATTATCTCTGAGGTGTTTGTCTACATTAAATGTTGCAGCACCTACACTTAGGTTACCTGCATTCTCCTGTCATGGTTTAAGTAATAGAGAGGCCCAGGGAAACAGAGGACAGTGGTTATGAGAGACCTGCCTCGCTTTCTGCAATAAGAAGTGGGAGAGAAAGCATATTCCCTCTCAAGAGGAGATACCTTCCTCTCTCTGCCTTAAGGTTTATTCTTGAAAGGGGACTTTTTCAGGGCGCTACCTTCCTTTAAGGGAAGTTCTAGTAGGAAATTTCATGATGCGTAGTCAACTGACCCCTGAATAATAGGTTGGAAAGGTAAGAAATTATGTCTCCAAAAGAGCTACATCTTGCTTGTCATTCAGTAGCCTCTTTCTCTATTTTGCAAGTGCTACCTACACAATCCATTATTTGTCATGGACTAATAATAAGTTCAGTGCCACATCTCATTACAGAAGCAAATTCTTGCATTTGAGGTTTTATTTCTAGCTATCCACATTAACACTGTATTTTTATGACGTGTTTTCAGCAGAACGTGTAGCTGATGTAACTGAGGTCCCACCAGAAGAGGTAGCCCTGCCTGCAGCTGCAGAAGAGAGAATTATGGAATTGGTTTTAGGAAAGATGCCTAGCACCACAAATAGCATCAGTTCAGTGACAAAGTAAGTGCTCTGGGATGCAGAATTTCCTCTTGGGCTTAATTAAGATTATGTAGCATGTAACAGCTCTACTTAACTTCTGGGCCCACAGATGCTCTTTTTTATTAGCATAAAATTGTGTGATGCTGCTGCTGCTACCAGAGCTGACTTTGAATGCCACAAAGGTGGCTTGTGCACTGGAGATGGTGCACAGATGGTGAGATATTGGTGGTAGAATTTTGGAGCATAAACCATAAGAATTTCATTTGCCATCATGTTACTGCCTTTATTCAGTGTGATTCCAAAAGCCTCCTGCAGTTGTAAGGTGAAATATTACTCCTGTTGAATGTTGGTGGTAAAACAGGCAAAGAGATTTTTGCTCAAAAAATTATGCTAACCATTATTATTCATTCTTGCTTGTCATCTTAACTCCTGAGTGACTTTATGTTGATTTGTGCGTGTGATACTTCAGATTTAGAGCAGTGGGAGGGGAAAACTTCAGTATAGCAGAACCTCAGGGAGACTCTTAAATATAATCTGATTAGTTTAGATTCTTTTATGTCTTTTTGTCTCAGTAAAATTGGCTTTTTGAATTTTTTTTGTACAATAAAGCACTTGATGTTTCAAAATTAGCTAGTAATGCCTATATATTGAAGTCCTGAGCAGACACAGAGAATACATCAAAAATGCATTCCAGCGGGTGGTTATGCTGGGAAATAGAACAGTACTGCTTCTTGGCGCCGTGCTGACCTCTTATCATATATGCCTTTTGCATGCGAGCTGCCAAGCTTTCTAAGCTGAAATAGTACTAATGTTTCCAGAGGATCAGCAGAAAAGATCTTTTGTGTTCCTCTGAGGGGCCTGCAAAGAGAATCTCTGAGGCTGGTGCTTTTTTCCTCGTTTTTGCTGGGTGAAGATAATTTGGGGTAAGCCACGCTCTGCAATCTGCTGCTTCCAGGGGGTAGCCAGGAGGGTGCATTGGCAATGAGGAAGCTCCAGGCCCCCCTCTCCTGCCAGAAGCTGAGCATAACACTCCTATAGCTTCTGCCAGCTGGTGGAACTCTTTCTTGCTACCTGTGGGATACCTTTCAGTCCCTGCCTTTCTTTCTCTAATCCAGTAGGTTTGCCCATCACCAAAACACCATGTCCCTCAAAAGAAGTTTAATTCTCTCCAGTAGACATGGTATACGGCGGAAACTGATAAAACAACTTGGGGAGCACAAGCGAGTCTATCAATGCAGTATCTGCAGTAAAATCTTCCAGAACAGCAGCAACCTCAGCAGGCATATCCGTTCTCACGGTGGGTTTGCTTTTGCCTCACTTGCGTATTGATTTTGTCTCTCGTTGGTTCCACCTTTGAGTAAAAGAGATAGGCTATTTTTAGATACGGGATACTAAATTTTAAGAGAGCTCTTCCTTCTTTTTTTCTCTTTTTTTAACTGTCTCTAAGAAACTCTTTTATTTAAGCAGATTGAAACATGAGAAGATAATAGTTAAAAGCTGAAATCAGAGTATTTAGAATTTGAATTTAGGTATGTATTTTCAACAAGGACAATGATGTGATGTTTTTCCAAAACTATTTTTCTCTTTGAATATATACATGTATATTGCCCCCCACCTTCACAGGCACATGGGTGACATTGCTGTGTAAATGTCAGCCAAGTGCTTTTTAGCTTGTGATCTGCAGTTCCAGGGGTCCATGACCTAATTCTAAGAATTTAATTAAAAATAATCACTGAAAAAGTGTGGGAGAACCAAACAAAAAATCCACTATTTGGATCTCCTGAATTACTAAGGCTTCTCATCACTAGCCTGTTTGTTTGTAGTTGCTTGTGCTTTGGTTTCCCCTGTCTTGCCTGGAGTTGATTCTTATCAGTCGCTGACAACTTTCTTTTTTTTATTTTATCTTGATTGATCCCCTCAGGTGACAAACTATTTAAATGTGAGGAATGCGCAAAGCTGTTCAGCCGTAAAGAGAGCTTGAAGCAGCATGTTTCATACAAGCACAGCAGGAACGAAGTGAGTGGAAATGACTAGTGGGCTCTTTCTGAGGTCAGGTGAAAATGTGCAGTGAGCTTCCAGGTGCTAGCTGGGGATCTTCGGTCCATTATATTTGAGCAGATATCCATGTGAATAAGTGAGACAAGACTGAGAGGGAGAGGTAACATCTTCTGTTAGCACAGTTAATGAATTTGCAAAGTGTGGACATGCTTTTGAGCATACAAGTCCTTTTTTGTGTCTGGATTTCCTATAGAAAGTTGTTTTCAGGCATCAGTTACAGCAAGACAAGCTGGAGTTATCTGGACCTGCATGATCTAGAGATAAGATCTGACTTTGGTTTATGGTACTAAATAGGATTGTTCCAGTCTTGTTTGTTTGTCCTGTTTCATTTATCCCCACCTATAGTGTCATCTAATGCGTGAACTCTCTGGGTAAAGGCTGTGTCATTAACGTCTGTGTGCACATGTGTGAACGTACAGTGCTTACAGTAGCAGCACCATGCCTGTTGATGAAGGCCTTTCAGTGCTGCTGCCATATAAATATTAAACATGCCTGTAGGGGGGCCTTATCAGGGAATATTTCCATTGCTGCTTGGCATCAAGGTCCTAAACTCTTAGATTGCTGGCACCTGTTCTGGAGATGGAGGATGAGTCGGATTACATCTTGCTTCTCAAAAGTTCTGTCTCTCTGTTGGACCGTAGGTTATCGGGAAGACTGTTAGATGCACACAGGTGCATGGTCTAGTTTTTCAGTCTTGTATAGAGCTCAGATGTAGGAAAATGGCAGGATGATATAGTGTCAGAATTTTGCATCAACGTGTGTTTAAATGTCCTGTTGAAGGAAGAAAAATTGGAGAAGACAGAAAACAGAAAAAGTAGTTGAGATTTAGAATTTCTCTATCAGGCATGACTTGGTTTTTTCCCTGCTTAAACACTTACCGTTTGCAATCCTCAGGTTGACAGTGAGTACAGATACAAGTGCACCACGTGTGAAAAGGCCTTTCGGATAGAGAGCGCATTGGAATTCCACAACTGCAGGACAGGTGAGAATGGCTAACCATTACGCATCCTTTGGTGTCTCTGCTCCATTTTGGGGAGATGTCTGCAAATCTACCTCAGCACAGAAACTACAAAAGGGGAGTAGGAATTTAGATTTTTGTCATCATCACAACAAGCAACGTGCCCCGCTTCCCTCAAAAAACTCATTTTATGATAAGAAAAGTATCACTAGTAATCTGTAGAGCAACACGTCCACTTATGTATTGCTTTTTTTAGTGTCTCCTGCTCACCTGACTAATATCCTCAGTGGTATTTCATTTTTATGTTTACAGATACCCTGTCACCATCTCTGCTTAGTTTTCTTTCCTGAAACTAAGTTTCACTTCATTTATCTGAAATAGAGGAACTGGAAGGGGGCCAGTACTATTGATAGTTTGTGGTTTTCTGGGATTACAGTTTTCTTCTGCCTTTTCTTGCTTTCTTTATACTTGCAGTAGTCTCTCTAGAGATTTTTTTCTTAGTGTCACTAGAACCTGTCCTTTTCTCCCATAGCCATCCCTTGTTGTTACTCATATTATGCTGAGTGATCTTACGCTTAGAAAATGACATCCCGATTACTTTCATGAACCCATGATAACTGTCAGTCCAGAATCACCTGAGTAATTGTCCCTTACAGCACCATTCCAAGTAGGTTTTCTCATTTCCTTTCAGAGGGTACAGCTTGTATAAAAAAATCAGCCTTATGAAGAATGAAAGGTAATGCCAAGTAACTTCAGTATTCTGTTTATTGAAGGGAGCAGTTAATTTTCTCTCTGAGTTGACCAAAACGAGCAGCAGTTTTTGCTCTACTCTTCAATGCATCAAACTGTACTTTTTTGTGATTGCTGCAGCACTGCATCTACAGGACAGTGCTTTCATGTTCCAAGAAAAGTCTCAGCTACTGAATACAAAACAAATTCCCTGTAGGCCTACCGTCATGTAATGGTGTATTTTTGAGATTTTATACTTTCTTCTGGAGAATTCTGTACTGGCTGGTATTAGGAGCCAGTGCTGGCAGAAGTATTCTGGTGTTTAGACACAGCTGTTCGTGTGATGCTGTGTTGCTGTATGTGTAGTGATTTTACCAGCATTAAAAACTTTAATCAACTGTAACAGAATCCACTCCAAACATAGTTTTAATATATGCTAGACGACAACAGAAATAGCCCGTGTGAGGAAGTTAAAATGGTAGATTCCATGTTCAAGTTAGCATCATATATATTTATTGCCTTTGAAAAAATGTCCTCCAGTGCATTCCAGTGATATTTAACCTCATAGGTGGCAAAAATAAATTCAATAGGTTGTTTGATGTTTCCTGTCTTTTTAATGGGAATACAATTTTAAAGTAAAAGAAGAACACATGCTTTTACATTTCCCTCCTCAATCCATATAACAATGGATTATATGTTAAAACTCAGATCTAACAAAAGAACTGCCTGTCTCACAAACATACAAAACCTGTTTTCATCTGTAAAGAGCTGTATGGTTTCTCTTACTTACAGATGACAAAACATTCCAGTGTGAGATGTGTTTCAGATTCTTTTCTACAAACAGTAATCTTTCAAAACACAAGAAAAAGCATGGGGATAAGAAGTTTGCATGTGAAATCTGCAATAAGATGTTCTACCGGAAGGATGTCATGCTAGACCATCAAAGACGACACTTGGAAGGTAAGTATACTGAAGATGAACCTAATTAATACTCTTGAAATAGCAGCAGAGGTGGGAAGGTTAAGGAAATGATTGTGCATTAGATTCTTCTGGATGGTAGCTGTCTTTTTTTTTTTTTTTTTTCCTGTCAGTTATCTGATCTGGAGTAGCAGGTTTCAGCAAAATGTGACATTTATCAAAAATAATAGCAACGGATCCTGGAGGGGAGTTGTCTAGTTCTATGAAAAACTTTCCGGGAGGTGCACCTACCTTTTTTTCAGCCTCATGTGATTATATCCATTGCTAACAGTCATGTGAAAGTTGTTTGGCCTGTTACGCAGTAGTTTAGACTATCTGATTTTAAATACGATCTTTTTCTTTCTTTGAATTCTGTTCCTTCTTTTTTTCAAAAAAAAGTGTGGTAATGTCAAAATTTGAAGGCAGAGAATTAAATTGTAATGTACAATTGAAAGTGAATACTGTATAGATACAGTATAAATGGAATGCTATATGATGCTATCTTTCAAAATCTTGAGAATATCTAAAGATGAGATTACAGGAGTTCACTGTTCAAAATCTCAAACATCTGAGAATGTTATAGGTATTCAAAGACTCTGGAAAAACATGGGTAATGGTAGATTGATGAAATATGTATTAAAATGCCTGTAGCAATCTAGATGATAAGACCAAAGGTGTTTTGAAAAAAGCAGCCAGATTATCTAATTTGGTGCTTTGGGCATAGCCAACTATCACTGGCCACCCTCGTGATTCAGACCTTTGTGTTATGAACTAGAGGACAGCTAGAGGACAAGGGGTTGAATGGCAATGGCAAAACGTCTCATGTTTAGCTGTCACAGAACAACAGCAGCTCTCTTCCTTCCTGAAAGTAGCAGAGAAAGAGGTCTGAAATCCTCACTGAGCACTAAAGATTATGCTGGATGGTTCCCTCTCTCCTTAGAGACTGCAAGGGGGAACGTCTGGGCCAAATAGCTGATGGAAGTGCCAAGGCCTACTAGATCAGCCTGTTTCCTGGTGTTGACAATAAATGTCTGTTCTCAGATACATTGCAGTTGGTGTAATAACCAGTAAGCCATAATACATCACTTTGGCAGGCTGCTTTTATATTCTTAAGACACTGTTTTAATTTAGAAGTTATCCTTATGCTAGCAATTAAAAGTTTGCATTGAGGCTTTTCCTAGTGTTCCACTCTTCTTTGCAGTATTCACCTGAAAGGGCATGCAGATTTCTAGTGGAAAACCATGGTTTATTTTTTTTGTTTTGTTTTTTTGATGGGGACTGTTCTGTAAAGGGGTGAGACGTGTGAAAAGAGAAGACTTTGAGCACAGCACGGAGAACATGGCTCGCTACAAGAAGGAGCCTTCGGGATGCCCCGTGTGTGGGAAGGTAGGCGTCTTTGCCAGCATGTGCCATGTGAAGCTCTGCATTGTAGCTCCAAAGATACCCTAGGGGTACCGTACACCTCAACCCAGAGCCTCCAAATGAGTTACCGTGGCATAACGAGTTGCCACCCATGTATTAAACCACAGTAGCAGCCTACCTGAATAGGCACACAGCCTGCCAAAAGGCTGAGGTAAATGACCTACGCTGAGGTACGTGCCAAGTCAGATTACCTCGCAGCTTGGACAGGCACACAGTGAGTTACCAGCGAGCCCTCTTGCCCAGCCAAGATGTTACTCTTTAAACTGCCTGAGCTCCATCATATATCCAAGCCCACTGTGGCCAGGGATGGTGAGAACTGTTAGACCAAAGATAAGAACAAAACTGAAGTTCAGACTATTTTTCAGGACACATAGCAAAATATAGAGCGTAACATGGCCACTGTGTCTGTGAAATCTCATGGCTTATGTTATTTAGAGTGAAATGTTTCTGCCAGCATGTAAACAGCTAGAATTGACTTGGTGCTTTGGGAATAATTTTCTATTAGAAATCAAAGTGCATTCATGGTCTAGTCATGGCACTGTTGCATATGGGTGTTTAATGCTCATGATCTGAAGTTGCAGTTATCAGAGGTATGAAGATTGTGGGTTAAATAGTGATTTATAAATGTTTAATGATTCATGGTGCAAGATGTACTCAAGCAATTTTTAAGTTGATGTGTGGACCTTTCTTTTTGATGCTTTGGGTATGTTACATATAAGTGAAGGCGGATGTTGTGGATGTGTCTTTTTTGTAGATACATGCAACATTCGTGATTCAAAAGATTTAAATATCTCTAAATCTACCCTGTATCATTCTGCTGCAGCTTTTTTGGAAGTCCACCTCTGATGAATGGTGAATTTCAGTCAGGTCTTTGGAACTGTGTACATGTATTTTGCTGTGCTAGCAGTTTCTGAGATAGTCTGCTGTCTGCATGACAGGAGCTCCTGCGTGTTTCTGGCCAGAATGAATAAAAACAGGACAATAAATTTGTTCTGTACTATCCGTTGGATAACTTGCAAAGAATTGTAGCTCTACTGGACGTAATTCAAAAACCCTTCCTTCATTCTTCTTTTCTTTTAGGTATTTTCATGTAGGAGCAATATGAACAAACACCTTTTAACACACGGAGACAAAAAATACACCTGTGAAATCTGTGGACGCAAATTTTTCAGGGTGGATGTGTTGAGAGATCATATTCATGTCCATTTTAAGGTATTGTGTTAATAATTTACAAGAAAAGGCATGTTACTTAGCAGACATTAATAAACATACCAATAAATATATTGAGACTGTTATGGCCACATGTTCATACTGGCAACACAACAGTGATTATATACCCTGTGCAGTCCTGTTTCTAGAGCAGCCTAACATGGGTTGTGCTCTGTGTTTCCACAGCTGGATTACTGCAGAGTATATGGACTATCGTTTGAAGTTATTTCAGCTACCACTGCAGAACACTGTTCTGAATGTTATGGAAAAAACCCCTCTGTAACCTTGGGTGAATCACAGAGGTTGCTCAGTTTAAAGCAGAAAAAATTACCTAACAGGAAGGCCACAGACAGATGTATTGTGCCAGTGGTACTTTGGTTGGACTGAGGGTTACTGTCATCCCCTCTGTTTGCATGAAAAAAAAAAAAAAACAAACAAGAAAACTAATTGTTCCTGCCCTTTTCATGCCAGTGATTGTGTTTCTCTTGTATATGCCAGCATAATTGCCTGTGTGTTGAGTTCTTCCTTTGCTTGTGTCAAAATGTCCCAAATCACCAAAACAGCTCTATTACTAGTACTTAACTAGACACAGATTATTTTGGTATAACTAGGTTAACGCTGAATTGTAAGGAATTGAATTGAAAGGAATTGTATCACTCAGTAGTGCTCATAAAGATGCTTATATGGAAGTAATACTGTACTAATTGAGTCTTTGTTTACATTAAAGTTCCTTTTATACACAAAATTGAGCATTATCTGTTTGGATAAACAGTTGTTCTTTCTTTAGTCATGGACAGAGAAACTTTGTTTACCTGACTTAAATGAAGCAGGAGGATATTGTAAATAAATAATGTTACAGCAATTGTTAATGAAAGAGTCTGCATGGCAACAAATATTCTTTCCCACCCTACACAGGACATAGCACTAATGGATGATCACCAAAGGGAAGAGTTCATTGGTAAAATTGGAATCTCATCAGAGGAAAATGATGACAACTCTGATGAAAGCGCAGATTCTGAGCCTCACAAGTATAGCTGCAAAAGGTGCCAGGTAGCTTTAAATACTTTGAAATTAACTTGTTTTGGGATGGGGTGTGGAGATATCTATAAATCATTCAGAATTTTAAGTAACATTAAGAGTTCACAAAGAGAAGACCAGTCCACAAGTCTGCAGTGCTTATTACCTCTAATCTAATAGTGATGCTGTTCCATAAGACTTTAGGTGTTGTTCTGTAAGGTGAATGCTAAACATGTAAAAAGATAAATAAACATACGTATGCACTTACCTGTGTGCAAGGAAGCAAGCAAGCAAAACTGGAGGAAGAAACAATAAAGGAACTTTCAAATCTTACGCTACCTTTTAATTATGTGCAAATTAAAATCATTATAGCATTTCTGAATGATACAGTCCACAAACTGATTAATTTTTATGAGATCAGACGGTCCTCTAGTGCATATCTATTCTGGAGGATTAAGACCGCTGCTTACGTTCAGTATGCTTATTCTTGGCCTACTCTATTAGTAACAGGATGGCATTAGAAGTACTGCTGGAACATAATTATCAGCTGAGAGAGGAAGACGTTTTAAACCTCTTACTCCATGGCTTTTGCTATTTTGTAAAGAAATAGTGGGGAAGAATTGGGTCCTTAAGGCCCGTCTGGATTCTGTGCCCTTACTGGGCGAGCACACTGTGCTGGGGTGGGCGGGATGCAAAAGCAATCAGTGAGAAGAGCAAAACTGGCCAAACTGACATAGGGACAGGGGAATTTTGGTAGTTAAGCCACTGATTTGGCCCCTGGAAATCAGCTTATTTCACAGTCTACACTTAATATGGTGAAACTGCTGAGCTTATCTTCATTTCGAAGACACGGAGATAATATTTTAGTTTTCTGTTCTTATCTGTGAACTGGTTTTACGTGCAAATTTTAATGCTTTTGTCAGTAAGCATAAGAAGATGCAATATCACAGCGATTAATCATGTGTGCTTTCAGTATGCTAATTTTAGCACCTGACAGTGGGTACATAAACTATATAAAATGGTATGTTTCCAAATGAGGGCAATTGTGCCATTCAACTTAGAAAGCTCTTTTTGGAAGCTGAGTTTTTTAGCACTTTTGCAGGTGTTTGTGAAGTGAACAGTTCTGTAAGGCAACAGCTGTGAAAAAAGTGTTACCTGTGATGAGATGCAGAGGCTCTCTTTGGCTAGAAATATCTGTTCACACATTTCTAATGGTGAACAACATACAAACGAGTTTTAGTGAAATATCTCTTCTGAGCATTTAAGAATCTCTCTTATTTTTTTCTCATCCCACAGTGTACCTTCAGCAAGCTGTGCAGTGCTGTCAGAAATACCCTGACTAGTTCCAAAATTGGAACAAAAGATCATCTCATTTTGGCACTCTGCCCTGATATGTTGGAGCATATATGCATATGCAGGATTACTTAGCCCAGGGAGCTAAGGAGTGGAGCTCCTGGCTGTAGCAGTTGTAGCACTTCTGGGGGCTGAGCTGGAATCACTGCCCTGCAATGCTTAGAAATACCAACTCTTCTGGAGGTAGTGCCAAAGCTTACTATGCAGACTAGAGCTTACCATGCCCCTAGAGCCCAAAAGACATTTTCTGCATCTGTGGCATCCTTGCTTTGACAGCTAGTGGAGGACGTGGTTCTCTTCAAGGCTGTTCCTCAGTGCACAAATAATTGGAGGTCCTTTACTTGTGCAGTGTAAGAAGCAGAGATACCATCTCAAGCTAGTTTTCCAAATGAGTTAACTGATGTCCTGTAGCAATGTGCTTGTAATGGCCTAAGAGGTTCAGGCCTAAATCTAGCTTTCACATATTTTTCGTCTAGTGATACACAGGATATTTACATCTACTAGCTCTGACTCTAGATCCTGGTAATTTGTTACTAGATCGTTGCTGTTCCCAAAGACTTTTTCCCTTTCATTCACTATTGGTTCATTCCACAGTTGACTTTTGGCAGAGGGAAGGAGTATCTGAAGCACATAATGGACGTACACAAGGAGAAAGGCTACGGCTGTAGCATTTGTAATCGACGTTTTGCCTTGAAGGCAACTTACCACGCACACATGGTCATTCATCGGGAGAACCTGCCTGATCCTAATGTACAAAAGTAAGATGACATGTTAGACTGAGAAGAGGAGCTATCCTTTGGAAATGACAGTGGCTCTGCCACCTGATGCTTTTAGAGAATTGGGCTGTACTAAAATACGTGAAATTGTATAATGAGTGTTAAAATGTTTATTAAAAGCTTGAAATATATATCACTAATGATTCCCTTCACACAGATGATTAGTCAACAGCCTCCCAGTTTGGGCTCTGTAAAGTATAAATCTATGATTTTGGTAAATATTTTCTAAAAACTATGATTTGAGCAGTGCCAGACTGCTCCAAGCTTGCAGTGAACTTAGGGGTTTCTTAAGGCTCATTTTGAAAATACATTTATGTTTTAAGGAACTTTCATAGTAATTAGTATTACCAAATGAAATACAGTTACTGACAGAGATGCCTGAAAACCACCTCTGTCTCAAGAAAAGAATGACAGGTTTTGGTCTCTTTGGTTTCAGATACATCCATCCATGTGAAATCTGTGGAAGGATTTTTAACAGTATAGGAAATCTGGAAAGACATAAGCTGATACATACAGGTAAAAATGATGTGCTTTTTTATTATTATAAATAATAAAAATAAATTTCTGTTGCCAGTGCCACCTTATTTTTTTCAGGAGGAAATAAGTTATTGGGTTTTACTGTAAGTTAGAATAAAGATAAATGTTATATTTATGCTTTTAGGGTAGACCAGTTTTCTAAAGCAGATAGTATTAATGAAGATATTTGGTCTAGGCACACAATCCCGGTTCCTAGTTAATATGATGCATGATTCATCTGCTAAAAATTCTCTTCTTCCCCAAATCCTTATCCATGCCACCTTCTCACCATTATACACGCTGAAAACTGCTATTGCAAAATCATTTTTAACAGCTCATTATTATTTCATGCTATTCAGTATTTTCCTACCTCAGGCTTGATCTTTTTTTTCAGATCTCACACAAAAAGCCAGCTTTTCTCTTTCTCCAAAGTCTTCTGATTTCATTTTGGCGACAATATGCATGAAAGATATGGTTGACAACACAGGTGGACTGTTGCCCTCTAATTCACCAGTTTAGTCAGTTTTTAGGAGATGCACATTTTTCATTAACATTTTTTTGTTTATGTTGTCTTTTAAATTTATTTTTAAGGTGTAAAAAGTCATGCTTGTGAGCAATGTGGCAAATCATTTGCTAGAAAAGACATGTTAAAAGAACATATGCGAGTCCATGATAATATCCGAGAATACTTGTGTGCAGAATGTGGCAAAGGTATGTCTAATGCCTTGTTTTCCATTAATTGTGATACTGACTAGCAGGTGAATATCTGAATTAAAACTACTTCCATTCTTAGAATATTGGGAAGGTTCAGAGTGCTGTAAATCCTGCATTTTTGAGAGGTAGAAACTGTATAAACCAGGAGCCTTACGGATACATAAACTACTCCTGATTTTATACAATCTAGTTTCATAGCTTGTAAGACAAAACTCATTTTAATAGCATTGGCTTTTGTCAGATTGAGGAGTGACTGCTTGACAGAGTTCCAGCGCATTTGCAGCACAAAAAGTGAATAGAAGTTAATTTTTTCATTCTAGGCTGTTTTCAGGCTTAAGAAGTAATTTCTCTCTCTAAGAGCCTTAAGAGTCACAGTTGCTTTGACTTTTGGAACAGTTCACATTATAACTTGAACAAATCTGAACTGGTATTTTAGCAGAAAGCAGTAAGTCTGACATCTTTAATGATGTTTTGTCTTTACTTGTCCCTGCTGTTTTGCCTCTTCCTCAGTGGTTACTCAGATGTTTCCCAGAGCTTTTGCCTGGAATTAAAATAATAATGATAATGTGCACTGCTACCAAAACAATTAAAAATATGCAACTGTGGACATGCAGCAGATATAATCTTGGAGCTCTTGGCTAACAACATGATAATCCTGAGTTCTTCTCTGAAGGTTGGAGCAATGGACTAATTGTTGTGCTGTACCTTTTGTCTCACAGGAATGAAGACAAAACATGCACTTCGTCACCACATGAAACTTCACAAAGGGATTAAAGAATATGAATGCAAGGAATGTCACCGAAAATTTGCACAGAAAGTCAACATGCTGAAGCATTACAAAAGACACACGGGTGAGGTCTCTAAAGATGTACAAAAATTGCACTGAATCAGTTAAATGCTTCCTGAGAGAACTCTATCTAGAACAGTCAGAGAGCATGAGGAACACTAATTAAAAAAATGCATATTCTGCTTTTTGAAAAGTGAGTTTTTACCCTCTCATCAGCCAAGACCACCTGTTACACAATTAAGATATATATTTTCGTTGGTTTCATGTTTTGCTTTTTTAAGAGAGGTGTTTTTGGTCTAGGGTAGGTCTAGAGTGTTGGTCTTGTTTTAAGTTAGTCTTCAGGCTCTCATTTCCCAAAACAAAATTTTGCCTCCCACATCAGTTCCTTTTGGATTCATTTTCTGCCAGATATAGTGGCATGGCTTAGATAAAAACAGGTAGTGAACCTGGGCTGCTTCTACTTGTTTGGCTATGATTTTTTATTTTTTTTTAGTAATATGAGACAGAATTGTCCCAGACACCTTAGACTATTTTCACTCTGATGCTAAATGTGCTCTTCATGCAGGAATCAAAGATTTCATGTGTGAGCTCTGTGGCAAGACGTTTAGTGAGCGAAATACAATGGAGACGCATAAGTTGATTCATACAGGTAAATCCTCTAAAAAACAGTATCCAAAGACAATAGCTTAATTTTGTTCTTAGGCTTGGTTTAGACTTGCCAGTCATGGAACTAGTGTTGCACATCATGTTACCCACATAGAATTGTTCCTCTTGTTGAGATGCTGACAATAAAATAGTCATATTTGGGGGCTATTGCTAACAGTATTTCCTTCCATCTGCCACCAGTAGGAAAACAGTGGACATGTTCAGTCTGTGATAAGAAATATGTCACTGATTACATGCTACAGAAGCACATTCAGCTCACACATGATAAGGTAGAAGCCCAGAGCTGTCAACTGTGTGGGACAAAGGTTTCTACCAGGGCATCCATGAGTCGACATATGAGGCGTAAACATCCAGAGGTGAGTAGTTTTGCAGGTAGATTGGGGGGGGGTGCTGTATTTTTAACTTTTTTTTTGTTTTTGTAAAGGAAGTTTATGGCCTTCAGTGACTTGAAAGGAATTACTTTTTTTTTTTTTCCTCTTTTTTTCTGTTGTTTTGGGGCCAATTTTAGGTAGTGTGTGTTAAGACTGAATCAGCTGTTTCATTATGTTATGTTTCAGTAGTAAACGATTGTCAGTCCCTAAAAACAAAGTTGTTCTGATTATTTAAACCCCTTTTCTTTTTCTGCCTGAGCTTAGATGTTTGTTTTTTTCGTGTTTTGTCTTCATCTATTAGTGAGTATAATTGATTCTTTTTCCCCATTGTGTTCTCTGTATTCAGAAGTGGTGAATAGAGAGGTGATGGCAGCATCTGATGATGATACAAAATTATTCTTAAAGATGAACACTGACTGCAGAGAATCTGGATTAGAGGGATGTTTTGTCTGACCCCAGCGGGGCTTTTTCTGTGTTCTAAATTTCTGAATAGCTGTTGCGTTCCTCCTCAGCATTTCTTGTTCAGGTCGACTAAGGCTTTGACTAAGCCCTTTGAGGCTTTTTTTACTACCAATTTAAAATTAGTGTTGCTTTGCCTTGAATTATCCCTATTTTTTATCATCATGACTGGGAAGGAAATCAACAAAAAACTCTGTTTATTGATTTTTGGATTAAAATGCAGCTACATATCTGCAATCTAGAGGGTAATTTGTCTCTGTTCTTTGATAAGCTGAGATGTATAGATTTAGCTGAAAGTAATGGAGTAGGACACATTGACTTATAAATAGAAATGCTAAAATAATATATATTTTTTTTAAAAAGCATAATTTGTTTTCTGTAGAAATCATCACTTCCCAGTGGGTTGTGTTCTGTCTAGAATATGAAAATAAACATATTCTTCTGTTGTTGTCTTTAAATTTTGCTCATTTTCAGAGAGAAAGAAAAGATTATATGACATAAGGCTACTTAAAAAAAGAGCCATTGTTAAATCCCTTGTATTAAATGATATGTGTAAAATGTTACATTACATCATTTTTGGTTTTGTGACAGGATTTATTAGGGGAATGCTGTATTGACTGTGGTCTGCACTGCTGCAGTTCACCAGCTGATACCTCTTTGTCCACAGATTATTTCAGTGAGGATTGATGATTTAGAGCAGCTGCCAGAGACGACTACCATTGATGCCTCCTCAATTGGGATTGTTCAGGTAAATTCGCTATTGCAGAATTCTGGTGGCAGGTAGGTCCCAGGCCTACTGGAGGGTGAGGTGGGGAGATAATTTTTTTTGGTACATATCATATCTGGGCATAGACTGAAGGGCAAGGAATGTGCCTTTTTAGAGAGTCAGCCCCAGCTTAATGTGTATAAGCAGATGCAAGCTGTTGATCTGTGGTGTTGTGTACCATGGCTGCTGGTAAAACAGGTAATTACAGGGTGAGATCTCATTCCCTGAAGTCAGGTTTTTGCTAAAGTTTGTTTCTTCACTTCAGAATCGACAGTAAACCGACTTCAGGTGATAGTGTCTTACTTGGAACTTCATTGAGTAAAATGACTTGATGTTTTGTTTGGCAATATGTTGCTTCAGCCGGAATTAGCCTTGGAACAGGGAGAATTACCAGAAGGGAAGCAGCATATGAAAACTCCTAAACGTGGCCAGAAACGAAAACAAAAGTCAGGTGAAGAGGAGGAAGCTCAAGTGCCTGAGGACCCTGCATTCAGTGAATACACAGAGAAGGAAGGTGAATTCACAGGGAATGTTGGAGATGAGACTAATTCAGCTGTACAGAGCATCCAGCAGGTGAGCTCCAGTAGCAGGGTGATGTGCAGCAGGCATTGCTTAGTGGGATAATCCTTCTTTTTTCCTAATAGGAAAAACACAGAAGAGTGATCGGACCATTTAGGGCTAATTTGATAAACTGTGGTAATACAAAGATGAATAGAGACTTTAAAAAAAACAAGGAGTTGAACCACTGAGCTCATCATGTTTATTTTCATTTCCTTTGGTCTTACCCTCACCTTGTTTGCCAGATACCACTAACTGGCTGAAGCTGTGACTGTAAGTGTGAAAGTTAATTCAGCTGCTTGTTTTGAACGTTGCAGATGCTTCCCTCCCATTACCTTCTTATTTCTATACATGGAAGTTGTTATATTCTAAGCTTTCTATGTTCCCCTGGTGTGTATGACTTCTCTTGCTGGCAGCAGCAACATGTGAGCCCATCAGCATTCACATGATCTTCCTTGATGCTTGATGTTTGGTAGTCAGCTGCAAGATATAAGGTTGAGCTTACTTTTCTGTTTTTCCTCAGGTGGTGGTGACCCTTGGCGACCCAAATGTCACAGCCCCTTCCAGTTCTGTGGGGCTGACAAATATCACTGTCACCCCCATTACGACAGCAGCTGGAACCCAATTCACAAACCTCCAGCCAGTGGCTGTGAGCCACCTGACTGCACCTGAACGCCAGTTACAGCTGGACAACTCTATTCTCACTGTGACGTTTGACACAGTCAGTGGTTCTGCCATGCTGCACAACCGCCAAAATGACATTCAGATTCAGCCGCAGCCAGAGGCAGCCAATCCTCAGTCTGTGGCGCATTTCATCAACCTGACCACCTTGGTGAACTCCATTGCTCCTCTAGGGAACCAGATAACAGAACAGCATCCTCTGACATGGAGGTCAGTGCCTCAGGCTGATGTCTTGCAGCCCCAGGCACAGCCAACGCAACAGCAGTCAGGACAACAACAGGTTCAAACAGAGCAACAACAACAGATGTATAGCTACTAATTTATACTTTGAAAAGTTTTGAAATGGACAGTACTTAGAGACAAAAACACACAGATGTTTGGAAAATTTCTAATAGGATTGTTTGCTGGATACCAAACAGAGCTGAGGAAATGTTTATACAATGAAATATAAGCTAAAATTGGCATAGCACCGTGCAACACCCTAATCTTGAGATTCTCACACTGTCTCTAGACCTTGCACTGTCTTACAAACGAAAAAATGAAAAAAATCTCACCATAAATTTAGCACCCCTTGTGCTGTGTATTTCATGCAGTAAGACTGAGATTTGACAGGAGCATTATAATACATCTTAACCAAAGCAGGGAAATCCTAAATATTATGGCACTGGTGGCGATTTACAAAAGCCTTTCAGCCATACCATGTCACTTCTTTCCAGTCTGGAAGTTACCTATGAAGACCTTGTTCACAGTGAGGTGGAATGCACTTGTGGTCAGCTGGTAGAGACTGAAATGTAAAGATACAAATGGGCAAACCAATAATTGTCTTGGTTTTTATCTTCTTTAGGCCTTGCATTTAACAGCATTGGAAAAGTAGTGGAGGTTGGGGCTTTAGAGTGGAGATGAGTATGGTGTGGAAGAAAATACACCAATTTCACAAATTATTTCCATTTTAGTTATGGGAAAAACCCTGTACCCATAACACAGTGTTTGTGCTACTTGAATCAGATACCTGGTCTAATGCTAAAGCAGCTTTTATGGTCTTCTAGTCAAGTTTGAATCAAAACAGTTGTGAACTGAAAAAAAAAGAATGTGATAATAGTTTCATGTAATTTTTCAAAATGTTCTTTCAATCTTGCTTTTAGCTAATAGGCCTGAAGAGCAATCAGTCCCCTTTGACCAATTTGAGGATGTGAATTTTTTTCAATTAGTCTTCTTTCATCGTGTAATAAATATTGAGAAAGCATTCTTTATATACATATATATATAGACTTTGTACTTTACTGTGTGTTCCTGGTGAGTATTTGTGTGAAAAACACTATTATCAATATGATTTATTATTTTTTTCATCCACATCTTGCCCTTTCTCACAGAAATAATGTATGGATTCTATTCAATTTCCAAAACTATTTCCAAAATTTGTAGTCGCACACAAGATTGTGTGAAATGTAAGAAAAAAGAATGTCTGAAGCATATTCTGCCACATGGAGGCAGTACACCCTAGTGAATAATGGGCAAGGTTTGCATGACTGTTGGGGATATAAATAGTGGGTTGGGTCAAATATATCATTGCTGATACTACACTTTCATTCCATTCTCCAGACATTAATGTGCAGTCTGGACTTTTGCATGTCAAGAAGATAGTATCTTTCCCCCAGAGAAAAAGCAGCTGATATCAAAAAGGAATAAACTTAAAAAATATAGTTGCTGCCTGGAATCCTGAAAGGCAAATCTGTCCTTCCAGCTGTGGCTGAAGAACGAGGTTCTTTGGGGCAGCAGACTGAGCCACAGAACCATGCTAACGGTTTTTGCTGAGGATGAAGCAGCTGCTGTGTTTGACAGTGAAGATAGATTGATGGTTGTAAAAATCCTGTGCCTATTGTATTTATGAAAATGTTCTATGTATTAGCAAAACTATGAGTAGGAATGACTTCTGCTTTGAAAGTCTGTATTAACATGGACTACTTGACCCCTAAAGGATGCCTTATAATCTCTAAAACAAAATCTTCCAAAGTATAAATGTCTGGATATTAAAGTTAACCTCCAGTGGTTTTCTTGGTGCCATAGCAGTGTCCAGAAGCTCACCATGCTAAGCTCTGTGTAAAGCTTAGTTGCAACAGGACATGTATAGGAAAGGGGTTTCTGGTAACAGATTTTGTGTCAGAGGAGCAGAACTACTTTTCTGTAAATGTCGACAAGCCTATAAAGTTTCTGCATGGGAGGGACCAATATTTGATGGGACAAGGATGCTTATCTGAAAGAGAAAATATCTTTTACCGCTGTGGGAAAGAGAATTTTTCATTCCTTGGCCTGTTCTTCCTCAGATCCTTTTCACACAATAATGTGAGATTCTGTAATTTTGTAAGCCTCCCACTGTCCTGAGAAGTGCAGTTTTATGCCCCTCTACCACCTGGATTTTTTCACCATTGGCTTGAGACAGTGAAGTTTCTCCTCAGCTATCCTGTCTAAAAATTACTCCCCTTCACACCAACCCACAGGTCAAGAGGAAGCTAGGTTTTATTTATGAAATATGTTGTTTATAAGCTTGAAACCTTCCCCCCCGCCCCGTGTGTTGGTGCCTAATTGGTAAATGCACATTATCTTTTGGCATGGTACTTTGGGGGAAGGCAAAAGAAAAAAAGCAAGGAAAGCAAATGTAGAGGTCCTAGGTCAAGTTATTGTCGTAAACAAAAGATGGCTAATATCTAAAAAAATACATATATATATATATACACACAGAGATGTGAAGTGTTACAGTGCTGCATATAGACTTTCTACAAGATCAGGGTTTTGTTTAAACTTAGGTAATAGTGATTAAGCTTTTAAGTGGGGAAGAGGTTTTTTGCCTTAGCTGCAGAGTGGGTGCATCTGCTCTGTGTTAATACTACTGATGGTACCATTCATGATGCATTGAATCAGTCTGAGTAATTTAACATGTAATTGCTTATTTGATAAGAATTGCATTCACCCATTACAGATACCTCTCTGACTTCATAAAACCTCTTTATCATAACATGATCCTCTGGTGTTTTGCACTTTTACACTGCCTACCATCTCTCCCACGCTAACTGGCCTGCATAATCCCATCCAGACAGGCAAGTTAGCATCTTGCCTTTCTGATAATGATTTATTCTAGCTGATTTTAAAAGGAATGATCACACAATAAATGCTTGCATGTTGGTGGTCACATAGAAAATAGATGTCTCTCTTTAGTCTCTCAGTATCCCCAAAATCTGAATCACAGAACAGCACGGGTTGGAAGGGACCTTGAAAGATCATCTGGTCCAACCTTTTGTGGGAAAGGGAGCCTAGATGAGATGATCTAGCACCCTGTCCAGTTGGATCTTTGAAACCTCCAGCAATGGAGACTCTGCCATGCCCCTGGGGAGGTTGTTCCAGTGGATGATTGTTCTTACTGTCAAAATGATCTTGAATAATACTCTGCTTCAGGAAGGAAAAATATAAGCACTGGAAGGGCTTTGACTAGGCCCGACAATAAAAGCTCTCTAAATGCTAATCTTCCCAGAACACTCCTTTTAGAAATGATCTTGACTTTCCCTGCAACCATTGCTATGGTACCTCATCATCTCTCAGCGTGATTTTATTATTACTGCTGTTATTAACATCCCTGTGAGAAACAATACTGTATCTTAGGTGTGCTGCAACATGAAACATTTCAAAAGAAATTATTTTGTTTGCTTTTGTTTCAAACAAATTACTTCAGAGAAGTTGGAAATTGATGCCTTTTCAGACAGACTTACCTTGGAGAACTAGTAAATGCCAGCTGCTCTCCCAACTAAGCCTTTTTCAGGTCAATACCAAAGTTATACTGATGCTGTTTCAAACTGCACAAGAAATAAAACTACATAAGGGATGTGCAATCTAAATTTCCTTTGCCAATTTGTTACTAGCCTTTTCAGTTGTAGAGTGTGAAGGTTATTGCTTTCAGGCATGTGTTGGAGATTTTGCATAACAACTGTTCAGTAACAAACTGGAATGACTTTGAACCAAAGGAGTGATGTTGTGTAGTGTTCTCTGTATTGTCATTGTTTATTGCTAAGACTATTATTTAATTGAATGCTGTCTGTGGCACATGGGCTCTGAAGTAAAGGAGCATCAAGGTACAGAACCCTTTCTCTACAGTGTTATTATTTTCTGGTCCTTAATTAATGCATGAAACTTTTTCCTTCAAATCATGTAGACTTGCTTCAAAAGCAGTAAGCTTAATCATTATCTTGTGGAACTTTGTACATCCCACAATGTACAGAAACATGGGATAGTGTTCTAAAATACTCTATAGCGTGTTATTCCATAAGAACAGAAAGCAGAGGAGACTGAATCTTTCTTGGCTGTGGTCTGTGGTGAGTTCTCTCAGGAAAACCTACTGTATCAAGTGCTATTATGCTCTCTAAAATTAAAATTTTGTTTTTAGATGTGCCACTATAAAAAGTAAAGATTTTTCCAGAAACCTACCAGTCAGTCTCCTATCAGTCTAATCAGCTGCATTTCTGTACCTTTATATTGTTTCAGAAATTAATCAAAGTTAACAACCAGGTAACAGTTGAATTTATTTCTAGAACTGAATTTTCTGTCAGTTTGTCAGAGTGATTTATTAGTGTTCTGCACACATAAAGATGCCTGAATTACCTTGAAAACTAGGAATGGAAAAAATATGGTACATCCAAATGACAATCATATAAAAACTATAGGTACTACATGAAAATTGATAGGGTAAATAGCTTTGTTAGTATTGCTTTGTGAATTTTTGTTCAGTAATGAGATTTCCTTGGTGCTATATAAAGTACTAATAATGTCACTTCTCCTAATTACTTTTGGCCTTACATTTATTATTGATACAGGCATACCGGTTGGAAAATCTTTAACCCTTTGTATTTTTGGCATGCCTTTTCACGGTGGTTCTGTGGTGGCCTCATCTGGTATAAAGGGAGAAGGAAACATGCTGGAGGAGGATACTGCTGATCCACACCACGGTGCACAGCAAAGCTCTGCTTGGAGTAGTTTTGGAGACAGACTGTACAGCCCAGTGTCCTGTATCTGTGGGATTAGTTACAGTTACAGTGTTTGGTTAGTTGCTAACACTTTTGAAAAGCTGGTTATTAGTTGCAACGGCTGTTAGAGCAGCTGATGTCAAAAGCAATTAAAATTACTGAGTTTCAGGATTTATTTCATCTAAAGCGAAGTTTTTAATTTCTAATGTCTCTTTGCTGTCAGTTGAGCCTTCCTTTATTTTTCTGTTTACTTCTAGATTTTTGTCCTAAAGTTTTTAAGGTGTTCAGTAAATGTAGCAAAAATTTAAATGGCTACAAAAAAAGAAGTGTAGTAATGGCAGTCAAAATTAGGAGGAAAACTATACTAATTTTCTACAGATTTCTGCCCTTCTCCTGCCCACGTGAGTCCAAGGTTCTTGCTGTGACACTAGCTCAAGGAAGGAGATGGCACATTCTCTGGCTCATTTGCTTTTTATGGATGCGCTGGGTGCTGTTAATGAGAGCAGGTGCCAGCAGA